CCCAATCCGGCATTCATGAACGGAAGCAAAATTTTGCGAACGGAGTTGTTCGTGACCCAAATTGGTCGTGAACAGAAGCGTTCATGACCCGAGGTACCGCTGTATTTGGATCCAGCCCACAATGTGTGGGTTGAAATAAAGGTGGGATTTCACCAGATCATATTACAGTGCCCCAGCCAAATCCAGTTTTGTTCCCAATGTTGGGTATGTCCATGCTGGACACTCTTGTTACCATCAGGTGATAACGGTCCTACCTATAGTTTTTCTACTTCTTTAGCTAATGAAGTATTACAAAGATACTGTTCTTAACTTGGGGAATTTAAAAACTGTTTACAAAGAGGTTTGTCTGCTAAGAGCTGTTCTCTTTTTCAGCACATTGAATCACGCACTCTAGCAATTGCACAGAACCTGAGTCAGCAGCTTCAAGCTACCTGCTTCACCCTGGTGTCCAGGATACAGGGTTTGCCACAGAATGTTCAAGATCAGGTTCACCATGTTGGGGAAATTGCAGGAGACGTGTACAGAAGCTTCCGGTCAGCCTCTTCTTTCACAGAAGTGTCTGACAACCTTCTTACCTCTAGTAAAGGGCAGTTGAAGAAAATGAAAGAATCGCTGGATGATGTGATGGATTATCTTGTAAACAACACACCCCTCAACTGGCTGGTAGGTCCCTTTTACCCACAGTTGGCCGGCTCTCAGAATGCTGAGCACAAAGGTGAAGGGGAGAAAAAGACCAGCCAGGAGGACAAACAGCCTGAACACACCACAGAATAAATTGCAGCAGACAGATGTACACTCAGTGCCCTGACTAACCAGATGGCTTAGCCATTAGACCTACAATGTAAGCTGTTGGGGAGAATGATGTGGCAGCAGAACTTAATGTTGTCCTATTTCCATTAAATTCTTCTCTGTCAAAGAGAACTGTCATAAGGAAAGAGTGCTGCATGTCTGAGTTGAGCTGTATGTCCTTTGCTTAAAGGGACTGTGGGTGCCTTACAACTTCTAAACCTCAGCAGATTACATTGGAGACCGTACCTTGTTCAGCTATCTAGCTATGAAGCCCCATCTTGCCTTGGAAACGGATCCTTGAAATGAAGTTATTGCACTTCCAGTATATATCAAAAAGCAAAGCAAATGACTGAATTAGAAAATAACTTTGGAAAAAATATAGTAGGGTAATCAGAATATCTTGCCCAGCTTTCTTTGAAAGCTGCATGTTATGCCCTTGCATTCATACTATTGCTTAAATGCATATTAAGCCACATTATTGTAGTACCAAAAGAGCACTCTGATCAACTTCACTGCTCTGTTGGATGAAGTTTATGATGAATATTTTCCAGAGTTCCTCACATGCTGTGAACGTTTATATTATTTAAAATTCTAAGACTTTGTACACTCCACTTTAAAGTACCTTTGAGTATTGTGCACTCAGTTCAAGATTCATGCTGTTTGTACACGGGTATACAGCCTGTCCTCGGTAGCACTTTGTCTTGTAATTCTCCATGTATGCTCTCAAGTAATAAATGCTTCAGCAGCCAAAGTCTGTCTCTTGAATTGTGTAAGCAAATGTGGTTACAAATATTCTATACTCTCTGTTGTGATTCAATTATTATTGAGCTGGGTTGTCTTTTAAAACTGGGTAAATTTAAACTACTGGTCCCTGAATCGGCATTTCATGCTTTATGTCTAAAATAGATGGGCTCAATGTTGCTGCCGCATTTGTTGCCTTCTGTGGCTCCCCGTCCAGCTTTACTAACTACCTGCTGCTGCTTAAGCTTTGCCATTCCAGCTTTGTCCTGCTTGCTGTTGCTTGGCAGGGCTCTCAAAGGAGGGTTGTGGAGGGTTGTGACTTGGTGGTGAATTGCCATAATTTTTTTTTTTTTTTTTAAGCCATTGGGTTCCTGTTCAAACACCCTGTAGTCTTGACCATCCATCAGACTAACAAGTCGTCACTCTTATAATTGAGGATTCGTGGATATGAAAAATGCTTGTGCCAACCAAAAATGTTTGTCATTTGTTTTATTGTTTGGCTGTATTGCACTAGTAGTTTCCAAAACTCAGTGTGTTAATAGTTTTGTCTAAACATAGAAACAGCCTGCAGAATGAGAGGTGCCGTGTAGAACTTAATCCCTAATGACTAAGACTCCATCCAAGTTGATAAAATGGAATAAAACAGCAAGGGAGCTGTTTCTAGGCCACATTTTTATTCATCTGGATTTTCAACAAGTCATGAGCTATTCTGTTATTAAATTTCCTTCCTATGGAACTTTTGCACTCCTGAAATTATTAAAAAACGAACAGTGCTAATCAACCTCTCCTTAGCCTATTTTGTCATATCACCTTCTGGGCATTATCTAGTTACTTAAAGGGATAATGTTAATTTCAGCAGCAATCTAACAATGCTACTTAAGTTGTAAAGTGATATGCCCAATGATACAGAAAGGCAATTTAACTCATAAGTTTGAGATCTCTTGTTTGGATAGATATCCATATTATTCTCTTGAAGTTGTGCAATTCTATCATGAACACTGACTTCCTGCAGTAAAATAAAATGGCATGGGATTCTAAATCCTCTTGAGAATCAGACCTAAAAGCTAATTCTAGATTTAGGGGCGTTCCTGCTTTTGGTATAGGCAATTGATCTGGTACACAATTTTGGCATTACATAAAAATAGGTGGGGCAAAGCACACAGTTTCTTAACTTGGTTCAGTTGTATGGCCAAAGATATCAATATTCTTGGACATCGGCTTTGATAAAATAGTAAGAACTGGTTTAAAAAACATAGAATGTGCTGTAGGTCAGAACTTTTAGGACCCAAACATGACTTGAAGAAGCACAGTGGCAAGCAGCCTTTCTCAGACAGAATTCCACATTAGAAAGAAGGCTGAATGAAAAGTAGAAAAATAGAACCCTTAGAAACATGGCAGTTCTTAAAACAGCACGTGGCTGCATTTCAACAGCAAATTGAGGCAGGGCTTAGGTTTGTGTAAGTGGACTGCAAGAGCTGCAGGCTGCACATAATTTGCTCTAATGCACGTTCCTCTGGTTACATTTGCTTGTACATAAAGTATTTAATAGTCTCTCTAAGCTCAGAGACATAAAATGTCAGTAACGATTGTTCAGAGTCCTAGAACCAGCTAACTCAACATAAAATACAGTAGCAATGGTCACAATGGTTTTGGAAAATAAAAAAAAAATCATCGCATGGTGTCACAAAGATTAGGTGCCAGGTTTTCCTACCTGGGAAGTTTCACAAAGTTTAAAAAAGGCTTTGCCTCATCACTGCTCATCTTTCTTTTGTAAGATAAGAGGACTGGAAAGAGGTCATGGAGACTGACAGTCCATTGGCTCATTCATGAAGCAGTGGACTAAATACACAACACTGCAGGAGACACTCTGGTTTATGGCTAATTTATAAGATCACCACCTGCCTACCTATTGTTACTATTGTAACATGCAACAAACTTCACAAAGGAAGTTTCAGAATCTTTATCAGATTAAACATGACTACAACTGATTAATGTAAATTACATTAAGATTACCATTGTCATTCCTTCATAGAAGGTATTTTATAAATCACAACCTGAATATAGAAAATCTGAATTACATTTATTGATACTCAAATTGGGTTGCAGGTCTGAGCCTTGAATTTATACTGACACTTTATGATCATTTCTAGTTCTTCTCTGAAAATGTCTGGTTTATAGACCAAAATGTTTTGGATGTAAAAAAAGTGATCCCCAATTCAAGCTTGTAAAGTATGAGCTGCTATGTAGTGACTTACTGATAAATGCTAGTAATATTTAGAGGCTGGGTGACTGACAGTCTTCAAAAGTATTTTGGCATGCTTTAGCACAAAGTTGGATAATACATTAATTCCTTAAAATGTACAGTAGCTCCACCTGGTGCTTTGGCAATAGTCCTGAGAACATAAATAGATGATACCTTGTAGACAGACATGTCAACTGGTTCCTGATACAATGTCAAATGTTACCTGCTACCTGGTAAGGAGGAGGCCTTAGACTTTCTGCTCTGGTGAACTACAACTCCCATTTTTCCTGACCCTTGACCATACAATGGATACTGATGGGAGCTGCAAACCAAGGTCATCTGGAGAGCCACAGGTTCCCTCCCCACCCCCCGCCACCAACTTGATTCCCATTCCTCCTTTAAAGGAAGGTAAAAATATGATAGGATATAAGTTTTGGCCAGAAAGTTTTAAAACTAATTCAACTTAAATGCTGAAGCAGCATGTTAGGCATTGTGTCAGAAGCTCTACTCTTCCAGGGGCCTGCATGCAGTGTCATGATGTGTAGAAAAAAGATGGGGCTTGTGGCGCAATGCCACAATATTGCTTTTGTCAGCCTCCCCCCCCCCTACAGATACCACTGAAGTTGGGAATTTAAAAAAGGAAGTTGATTACAGTGGCATATAAGCCCAAATCATTTTTAATAATGAAATACAACACCAATAGGGAAAGAGAGTAGTTATACAGAAGGAAAAGTTAAGCTAAATGTAACAACAACAAAAGGATTGTTGGTTTCAGTTCAAGTCCTGCATCTCTCAAAGATCCTAAGACAGCAGGTACCTCTGGGGCTGCTAAAACATCCAGGCCATACTGAACAGTTATATAGATTCCCAAGTGGATGTTATAGGTCATATTCCTAGCCCAATCTTTCAATCTTTAAAACAATCACTATAAATCAGCTGATTTAAAGTACTGATCTCTTGTTTGGCCCAAGGAGCCCAGCAAAACTATCTTCAGATTTGGAGTATTTCACAACATCAGTATTCATGTAATTTGGGATGAACCTTAACTGCTTACTTATTAATAACCAAATTTGTCTGGTAGCTCTCAAGCCTGAAAATGAAAATCTCTGTTTAATATACTTGAACCCTAAAACTTGGCAGGATTTAGAAGAATTACTTATTCTCCAAGTAGACCCAAAGAGGGGAATATTCATAGAAGTTCTCATTCCAAAAAATATAGATATTAAAATGAAAGCCCGGGGACATAGTTAAAAATACTGTGGGTTAAAGCCACCTTCATCGTAAGGCAACCTCAATTTGGCTAAAGATATTCAAGGGGCTTTAGCCTGCCATAAACATTTTGTCATTAACTTATCTGTATAAAGTATCAAACAGGAATTAACATTAGAATCCCTCTTAGAATATGCACTAATCTCCGTGTAATATATATTTCAATTACATTAATATTGTCCAAAAGAATTAACAAAAGTTTTAGCCATCAAGTTACATCTACTGAAATGTCATCTATCAATTTAGACATGTTTAATTCAACATATTGTGAGATATTTCAAAAAGATAGAGAAACCCAAATATTTTATAGAGTCTACAAATTGTAAATCCTAGTTCTTTGCAGTAATCTATGGTTATTCTCGATCCCAAGGCAGCAAACTTAGACTTTTCCCATTAATAGTATCTTTATTAAGAGTATAAGCCGTATAGCTGTATAATTTTAGTAAGCTTTGGTAATAACACTAACTAATTTTCCAAAACATCCATGATATCATCAGCATATAAAAACAATTTGTATTCAGTATCAGGTGTCACCATACCTTTAATATCTTGAAACTGTATAACGGAAGAAGCTAAGGGTTTGAGAACCAAATTAAAATTTAAAGGAGACAAGGGCATCCTTGACAGGTGCCACATATAACTTGATAGATTGAGAAACAAAGCCATTTTTAATTACTCTAACCACAGAGTAAAGATAATAAATTGTAATCCAAAGAATATATACACGTCATATATTCAATCTGAAATGTATTGAAGGCCTTATCAGTGTCTAATGAAATTAGAACAATTGATTCTAATTTATGTGCCACAGTGTCAAATGGATATTGTCAGATGCTTTTTTATAAATCCAGACCAAGATGGGTGGATTAAGGATAATATTCCTTTCTGTAGCATCCTGACTACAGTACTGTGGCAGTTAATATTTTAGGATCCATATTAACCAGAGATATTGGGCTATAACCTGAACATCTAGTAGGGTTGTTCTCAGACTTTAATATTACTGTAATACAAGCCTCATAAAATGATGGAGGAAATACAGATTTTATTTTGATTTTCTTGAAAGATTTCTTCCATTTCAATATTTTCCAAGAAATTAATAATTTGCTGTTTGGTTACTGATGTCCTCAATTTATATACCTCGGTGTAAAAAACATTAAACTGGTGAATAGATTCTGTCTCAGTATATAACTGAGACTTCTTGGCCTGAATTTCAGATATAAACTTTCACTGTTTTTGTTGTTTTAACTGATAAGCCAATTTTCCAATAATTTTCTGATCCCCAGTAGTTCTGATTAAGGCATTTCAAGGAATAGTCAAAGTATTCTGAAAATAGTTGCCTCAGTTTAAACCTTAGGTGCTATAAATACTTGATTCATCTGAGGGGCTTTTGGCATTTAACAAAAGTGAGACTTTAATCATTTTTTCCAGCTGTATAAAATTAGAATCTCTCTCTCTTTTTTGCTGACTCAGTAATATAATGGTTCAACAAATGGATGCCTTAAACTTATCCCAGAAGATTAGCAAATTAGTAGAGCCCTGATTTACTTCAAAAATGAGCAAATGTCCTTGTTGATGTATTCCATAAAAGAAGATCCACGTACAGAAGTATTAAAATACCATGTAGAATTGGTTGAATTATAATTTTGAAATTTCAGAGTGAGTCATTGGAGCATGGTTTGAGATTGCAATGGAGCCTATTGAGGAGTCCAAAATAGTGGAAATTAATTAGTTCACCAAAATAGAAGAAATTAATAAATAATCTATTCTAAAACCAGGTTGATGTGCACAAGAAAAAAGTATACAGTATTCACTACATGAGTTACATTAAAATCTCCACCACAGCTTGTATATTGAGGATTTGCAGGATGGGAGTGGGGAAACTTGAGTTCTAGTCCCATCTTAGGCATGAAGCCAGCTGGGTGACTTTGGGCCAGTCATTCTCTCTCAGCCCTAGGAAGAAGGCAAATGCTGCCAAGAAAACTGCATGGGCACATCCTTGTAGTCATCAGGAGTCAAGTCTGACTCAAAGGCACTACTGGTATTTCTATTGCCTGATCATGACTGTGTTTGCTCTGGGTGAAGTCCTATCAATTTCAGTGGGATATTCTCACAACTGATCAAAGTATTGCAATCTTGGTCAAGTTCTATTATAAACAAAGGAATAATTTTATTAATTATGATAACTATGAGAGATGAGTGGGTGAACAGGTAGGAAAAGATGGATGGAATACTCAGTCCTTCTGCTGCACCTGGCAGAG